CCCCAAAACCCCAAAACCCCTTCAATCAAGATTACTTAATTGAATGATAAGATTTATATTAAAATATATTAAATGAAAGTAATCAAAGGTTTAAACACCATAGTGATATTCAATTCGATAATATTCTCATTTTGCGCTGTAATCACATTTTTCGCATTTTCATTTTTTGTACTCGCAATACTAGATTCTATCTAACTAGCAGATACAATGAAAAGAATTAACCCAATCAAAATGTCTTTTTTATAAAGGCTTATTGAGCAAATTGCAGAACTAATAAAATTTGGCCTATTTCTTCTGCTGAACTATTACATAATTCAATTTGTGCATGACTTATAAAATGTTATCAAAGGTGATTACGTTGGGCTACTCTATTAATACAGATTTAAGGAATATGCAAGTAGCTTTAAAGAGGTATTTCACTCTGTCGCTAAATATGCACTTACAATGGGTGTAGAGACCTACTTACTTTATCATTAGTACTTCCGTGGAATATATAAATTAGTCATGATAGCATAACTCAGTTGGATTATGAGTTTAGGATTTGCAAACTAAACTCTCAAAGAGGTTAAGGGAGCAAATCTGACAAAAGATGAGAGAAATAAAATTCATGCCTGGCCTTTTCTGATAATATTTTTCATAAATACAACTTGGATGAGAGAAGCACAGTATGGTGAAATATGATGGCCAGAGTGCCTTAAGAATGTATTAATGAATGTATTAAGTCATAAAATCAAGTTTAAACTTATAATTCAAAGCTTATCAATTCATGAATTAAACTTTTACTTCTATAATTATAATCTCAAATGTTTAATTCCTTAATTTCATCTTGGAAAGCTACATTTTTTTTCTCGCTTTGAAAGTTTAAGATTTGAGGTTCAATTGATGAAAATTTACCATTTAATCCAAGACCCAATGGTCCACCACCTACTGTATTATTGATATTATTCAGAATCTTAGCTTTGGCAGCTTAAGCTGCAGTTTTGGCTCTATCTTCTTTTTTGGCTATCTCAATTAACTTAGGCATGGTCCAGTCTACCATCTTTTTCTTCATTATCTCTGCCTATATTGTTCTTATCATAAGATTTCTTCTCATCTTTAAAAAATTATTTTTAATAGCGTCACTTGCTACTGTTGATGGTATACCCTTTATAAGTTGGCGGTTTCTCTCATAAACTACGTTAAGCTTTTATTTTCTCTCCATAATAAAAGCAGATTTTTCTCTTTATTAAATATCATTTGCTACTTTGAGCTGCTTTTTTCGTTCTAGTGATATATTATACAGGTACTCAGATTGCATTAGAGAAGAGCCTAGCAATGATTTTGCAGATCTTTCGTTTGAATTGTTAGATCTATTTTTAATTCTATTAGATGGACTATCTAGACCTTGATCATCTATGTAAGCCTTATACTCAATTTTACCTTGTGCATCTTAGTCAAAATTTAATGCCTTGTTTAATTTGGGATAAGCATTAATTTCATTGAATTTAGGAGTTTATTTGATATTTCCATTGGCTAGAGTATTCGATCTATATCTTTACTGCTGCTGAGTAAGTGGCTATGACAGATTAGGGATATTGGTAAGTCTCTTTTGCTCCATAAGATTTTTTATTCTGACTCCTCTTGGCTCTTATACAGATTTATTAATGCTTTATAGGTTTCTTTTGCTTCTATTTTGATTCCCACTTCTAATTGTCGAGGAGTTGACGTTATTTCTATTCGAGGTATTTATAAAACTCATTTAAGATCCTTGAGATTTGTTTTAGCCTGTGTTTTCATAGCCAATGCTATCATTATGATTTATGCTGAGGTTATTGTTATTCCGAGCGAAGTCATTTAATCTAGAACCTGCTGTCATCTTTGACTAATTATGTCCTGTGCTGTTATTTGTGTTAAAATGGTTATTGAAACGACTTAATCTCCTACTCAACTTTTTATCTTGTTTATCAAAGTAAGATAGAATTTCTCTTACTAAAGGAGCGACATAGCTTGCATTTGGATCAGTTTCATTTTGTTGTCAGTTAGCTGAATTCTATAAGTTAAAATATTAGAATCATTGATACTTTGAGATAAAAAGGAAATGTAAATTACTATAGATATCTGACTTTTGATCAGACTATTTGCATTCCTGTTTGGTGTCATATCATATAAATTATCATTATATTCCTGACCAGGTTGGTTCAAACTTTTGTCAAGATCTATCTTCATTTAAGATTTCTCAATCTAATAATTAATTAAATAGATAATTTACTGTATTCAAGATGTCCTTTTAAACCATTCTTTTTATTTTAATATAATTAGTTATTTTATATGTTTTTTATTTTTAAAGAAAATGAGATATTTATCTTGAGGGGTTTTGGGGTTTTGGGG